TGATGTGTGAAATTTTAAGACAAACGTAATCCTACATCACATTTTATAAGAGTTATAATTATACAAAATTTTGACCCTTTGTGGGGGAGGTACTTGATGGAGTGAACCGATATTGTCAATTTTCGCACCTGACCTTGCACTGGTGCAAACATTAGCATATGCAAAGTTCGAGCAAAATTGGATTTTCCTTTCTACTGCTATGCAGTAAATTAACCTTGGAAAGGAGGGTATATTAACTTTGTCATTCCGTTTGTAACATCCCTAAATATTCGTTTTAGACCCCATAAAGTATATATATTCATAATCAGCATAAAATTCTAAGTCGATTTAACGATGTCCGTCTGTCTGTCTGTCCGTCTGTCTGTCTGTTGAAATCACGATACAGCCCACATTATTTGACGAAGAGCTCCAAAATTTAGCAGAGCTATTTGCATTGTGAAAATTGAAAATGAGATATATCGGTCCACGTTCTGGTATAGTCCCCATATAACGGTACCTCCCGATATTCGGTATTTTGATGATTTATGCCACATTTTTTCACGGATTTGTCTTAAAATTGGTTGTTGTAGGTCATAGCGGGTCCTTGAGCGTGTGGCAAAACATTGCATGTATAGGTCCACGTTGTGGTATAGCCCCCATATAAAGGTACCTCCCGATATTTAGTATTTTAGTTTTTTTTACCACATTTTTTCACGGATTTGTCTGAAAATCGGTATTTGTTGGTCATAATGGGTTCCAGCTCCGGTGGCGAAACATTGTAATTATAGGTCCACGTTTTGGTATAGCCCCCATATAACGGTACCTCCCCACAATCGGCATTTTAATGGTTTTTGACACATTTCTTCTAATGTTTCTTTTACCCTAAGGTGGAGGGTATTAAAAGTTTGGCCCGGCCGAACTTAATGTTTTTTTACTTGTTTTATTTAAAATGTTGACATGTTGTGGGGGAGGTATCGGAAGGAGCGCACCACTATTGCCCATTTCCAAACTCGATCTATGTTTGACAATAATATTACGATGTAGAAAGTTTGGATCAAATCGGATACCACCTTCGAGAGTTGTCGTGCGCACTAGCGAGCCAAACAGACAGACGGACGGACGGACATCGCTAGATCGACTCCAAATGTCCTGAAACGGATTTGGTCCAACGAAACCTAGGGTCTAAAACCGTTATTTCGGCGAAGCACGTTTCGGCCGTATCAAATGATGTATACCCTCTGCAGCCATATGGCTGAGGATATAAAAATGGTTAGTCACTGGAAAATACGGCGTATGTATTTTATCTGTCAAAAATATAAAATTAGAATACGGGTTTCAAATGTGGGTCGTTAAAATACCAATAAGTGTAGAAAAGGCAATTTTTTAAACGGCTGAAGCTAGAATCTTGAAATTTTCCACGATGTTCGGTCTTAGTGCGTATCCGTGTGATAAGGCTGGATTTTTGGAAATTCTTACTAACAGGGTACGAAAAGTACTAAAATGTACTAAAAATTGAATACTTTGTATTGATCAAAGAGAATGAACTAGAGTTTTGAAATTTGGAATGTAGTCACGGATGGAGTGCAGCATAGATGTACAAAGGGTTTTTAGAAATGCGCACTTTGAGGTTACGAAAAGATCTAAAATTGTACTAAACTTTTAAAATGGTACCATTTGGTATTATGTGAACGGATTGCTATGAGAATAAAGGTTGGAAATTAAATTAGATTATATAAAGGTGGTTTGTAAATGTGTACCAAGGGTACGAACTGTACTAAATTTGAAAAAGTTTGGTTTAGGTTGAACTGATGGTGTGGGAATTTCAAAGTTTTGGTATTGGGATCACTGTTGGTGGTAGGTATATCATAAAGAGATGGTTATGGAAATGTTTACTACAAGTGCACGAATAGTACTAAGTAGTGCTATATTTGGTACACTTTGGTAATGGGTAAGCAGATAGTGGTTGAAATTTGGAATCTGAAATTTGGTATAAGGGTCGTTGTTCATGTGTAACCTCGACATATGGAGATGGTTTCGGATATGTGTACTATAATTGTACAAAGAGTACCGATAGGTATTTTATTGGAAATTTATTTAAAATTAGATTACTGATGGTATCTGTATTTGAGAATAGGTGGTGGTTTGGAAATGAGTCCAATATTTATGCGAATAAAGGCTGAAGCATAGAAATAAAATTCTGAAATTTGATATTTAGATCATTGATGGTATCTGTGTTTGATATGGATTTGGCGGTGGTTCGGAAATGCATAGTACGCATTTGCAGGAAAAGTATTAAATGGTACTAAATTTGGTATTGGGTGAAGGAATATAGCTGAAATCCTGAAATTTGTTATAGATGTCACTGTTGGTGTCTGTGATTAAGATATGGAGGTGGTTTTAGAAATGTGCACCATAATTGTACGAAAAGTATTGAATCGTACTATATTTGGTATTGAACGGATAGCGATAATACTCTGAAATTTGAGATTTAGATTGCTGATGGTATATGTGTCTTATATTTGATGGTGGTTCGGAAATGCTGAAATCCTAAAATTTGATATTCAAATAACTGTTGGTATCTGAGGTAAAGATTTAGAGGTGGGTTTAGAAATGCATACTATAATTTTTCGAAAGGTACTAAATTTAACAAAATTTGGTATTGAGTGAAGGGATAGAATTGAAACCGTAAAATTTTATATTGCAAAACTATATCCATATGCCCAGGTCGCATATAAACCGATACCCTAATATAAAATTTCAGATTTCAATCACTATATGTTCACCCAATAGTACGAAATATTGTTCTATATAATACTTTTCGTGCACTTGTAGTACCCATCTCTAAAATCACATCTTTATCAAAAACCAACCACCAACAGGAGTTCTACTACCAAATTGCAAAATTCCAGCTTCATCCTTCATATGTCGAACCTACTTTCTAACCTTGGTTTTCATACCAGATTTCATGTTTTAGCTCTATCGGTTCACACAATATCAAATGGTACCATTTTAGAGGTTAAGTAGTAATTTAGAACTTTTCGTAACCTTGGTTTGAATTTCCAAAAACCCTTTGGTTAGTCGATCCTGCACTCCATCAGTGATATTGCTTCCAAATTCCATTCAATTCTAGCTCATTTAGTTTTTCCAATACAAAGCATTACATTTTTAGTATATTATAGTACTTTTCGTTCCCTTTTAGTACAATTTTCCAAAAACTCTGCCTTATCACACTCCAAGATGGGCCCTCTTGCAAAATTTCAAGATTTTAGCTTAGGTTGTTTCGTCTGGGCGTTGATCTTCCACCAGGCAGTCGAGCATTGATTTCACTACACTTTTATAAACAGGGTGAGATAAAAAAGCTGCAACAAAGTAGAACGCCATAATTTTTACATTTTTTTTTAAATTTTATTGAATGAAAGCAATATATGTCGGAAATAGCGTTAAATTTTAGAATAAGCTTAGATTTGTTCGAATTGGCCACCTTTGGCACGAATTATGGCCTTCAAACGGCCAATGAAACCGTAACCCGCTGCCCTTACGTTGCTCTGCGGTATTTTGGCCCATTCCAGGCGAAGCGCTTGCTTGAGGTGATCGAAACTTTGGTATTTTTTAGTGCCAATCTTGCTTTCCCAAATACTCCAGACACAATAGTCCAACAGATTGATATCCGGAGATTTTGCTGGCCATTGTGCGCTGGAAATGAAGCGAGGAACCTCATTTTATAAACATTCTTGTGTGAAGCGTGCTGAGTGCGATGGTGCTGAGTCCTGTTGGAATGTCCAAAGTCTGATCTGCGGCCAAAATGTTTGCGTGCCCAAGGCTTTAATACACCCTCCCGAATATTTTCGCGATAATATTCGGCATTTATTCTGATGCCACGGTCGATTAATACGAGCGAAGAGCGACTATTGCCTGTTGTGGCGGCCCACAACCATCACCATACACGACGCTTGAGTTCTGGTGGCCAACCGAAGGTACACATTTTCAGCTGTCTTGTTTGTTTACAAACTGCTGGACAACGGATGTCTTCTCATCGGAGAAAACCAAATTCGGCAGTTCACCACTTTTGGTCAAGCGAAGCAACTCGTTAGCTCTTTTGAGTCTATTTTCTTTTTGTTGCGGTGTAAGCTCTTGCACTTTTTGGAATTTCAATGGCTTTACCCCGAGCTCATTTTTCAATATTTGCCGAATGGAATATTGCCGTGTGTTCATCTCACAAGCCATTTTTCGGCCACTGCGACGCGGGTTTCGATCAAGTCGCTTCTTTACTTTTCGAACCATTTCTGCTGATGTTGCTGTTTTCTTCCGTCCACTACCTTGACGTCGGGCTATTCTACCAGTATCGCAGTATCGGTAACGAGCGATGGTACGAGCCACAAAATATTTATTCACATTTAAATGCTGGAGTGCTCTAACGATAGCCACTTGTGGTTTTCCAGTCAAATATAAAGAAATCACACTATCACGCTTGAATTCCATCACGAATAACTTTTTTTCTGGGAAACTCTCACCAAAATGCTTTTGTACGCTTGTAAACAATATAATGAGCTGTCACTGGAATAATTTTAACAACTGTCGGACAAGTGGCTTAGAAATGACAGCAGTCTGAACTTGGTTGTAGTTCATCTCACTCTGTAGGAATTTTCTTTGCCTTCAAGCTTGAATTTGTAAAAACCTCTTGGTACATCTATCATGGACTCCATTAGTGACTCCGATTGCAAATTTCAGAATTCTACCTAATTTCGTTTGTCCAATACAAGGTGTTACATTTTTAATACATTTTAGAACCCTTTTAGTGCGAATTTCCGGAACCCAGCTTTATCACTCGTGCAAAATTTCAATATTTCGTCTGGGTGTTGATTTTACGTCGGGCAGTCGATCAGTGTTTTCACTACTTTTTTATGTATACAGATCACCCCAAGGGAAATACCTAAATTGAAATTGTTCGCAGAATAAATTTACTTCCAAAGAGTTTTGAAATTCGAGCTGAAATATTTTGACATAAAAGAATTTATTACAAATTAAAGGATACAGATTATTGTTATATATTATCATCATTCAATTTTATGGCATTTAAAAATAAATTAAATCAAATGAAACTTCCTTAATTATAACGGTACTACTCAACACAATAATAACCTTAATACTAATATTTTACGTTGGAATTTCTCCTCTTTTTTTCTTCCGCTTCTTATTGAGTATCTTGAATTCTCTCTATTATCCAATCCATAAAATATTGAACGCTTGTATATACCGCAGGAATTTCAGGACGACCACAGCCATTGCCATAGGCAATAACGCCCAGCAAATGGAAATGCGCCACATTTTTGTAAATCTGCAATGAAATGGAGAAGTTATTATTTTTATTTTTTCCTCTGCTTGTGCTCATACCTCTGGAATCATCAAGGGGCCACCTGAATCCCCCTGACACGAATCCTTGCCACCCGTCAGTACGCCAGCACAAAGAACCGCACTATCAAACTGATTCTGACTGAACAATATGTTACGTTTCTGATACTCCTGACGGCACAAATCGTTGGTGTAGACCATTATTTGCAGTTCGTAGAGGACATTTCTGGCGGTGCCATTTTCATGATTTTTACCCCAGCCGGCCACAAATGGATTGTATCTAACATAGTCCTTTTGCCTTAACGCCGGCGTTGTGGGCAGGCAAATGGGCAGGATTGATTCTGAAAGTTGTGAAAAGAAATAAAAACGTAAAAATGAATTGAAAATTTAAAAAAAGTGATTAAGTTCGGCTGGGCCGAGCTTTTCATAATATCCATTACAAAGAAACGGAAAAAATTAATGTACCCGCTCTAAATTATTTTTTAAGTCAGTTTTTTCTTAACAACAATCATGAATGTTAATAAACTTTTAAAAGTCTAGGGACCCACGATTTTATTCCTAACAAAAAATAAAACCATGCGGACCCTCGGTTTTTTTCTATAAGAAAAAAAGTGGTCCCGGTTGACCTACGGTATTTTGTCTATAGAAAATTTGTTTTCTTAGAGAAAAAATTGGAGACAAATAAAATTTTTTCCTGGAGAAAAACACTGATCCCTAGTTCCAAGGAAGTTTTTTTGGTCCATTTCTTTTTGGCGCCTGGAACCGAATGATTTTTTATTATAGAAAAAATTGATCTCTGGGGCCTACAAACATTTTTTATATAAAACCAGTAAAGAAAGGTCAAAAGTTCGCAAGTTATGAGAAAAACAAGTAAAAAAGCTGTAAGTTCGGCCGGGCCGAACTTTGAATACCCTCCACTATTTGGAACGAATTTGGCAATTCTCAAAAACAATAAAATCCGTGAAAAATTCTCTTAAAATCTTAAAAATGCCGAATGTAGCTGTTATATTAGGGTCTATACGACGACATGGACCTGCATAGGCAATATTTGTCATAAGCCATTACAATATTCAAATGCGGAACATAAAAAAAATTCGGTAACAGTGTAGCTAAAATCATCAAAATACCGAATATCGGGAGGTACCGCTATATGGGAGCTATACGAAGACGTGGACCGGCAATGACAATTTTCTGTCTTAGGCTGTAGTATTCGTTACGAACTTCAAATACCAAATTTGAAAGAATTCCGGTGAATAATGTCGCTAAAATCATTAAAATACCGAATATGGGGAGGTACCGTTATATGGGGGCTATACCAAAACGTGGACCTACATGACCCATTTTCAATACTAAAAGTCCTGCAGATATAATAAACATTTGAGTAAAATTGTATCAATCCCCTTCAATTCATTCGGAAGCCAGAGTGATTTCCCCAGACGGACAGACGACATAGAATGTTATGCTGATCAAGAATATATATACTTTGTCGGGTCTAAAATGTATATTTCGAGGTGTTACAAACGGAATGACAAACTAAATATACCCTCCATACTATGGTGGAGTATTGATAATTGTTAACATTTAGCGGAGAGATACCAGAAGAGTGGTTTTTTTTCGCATTTTATGAGCGTTTTGTAATTAAAAATTTTGACCCATTGTGGTTGAGGTTCCAGAAGGAGTGGACCGATATATCCCCTTAATACAAATATTGGAATGTGTAAATTTTGAAGACATTCGGACTTTTATTTCTTATTTTATAAGAATTAAAATTATTCCAAATTTTGACCCTTCGCGATGGAGGTACTTGATGGAGTGGACCTATATGGTCCATTTTTGGACCTGACCTTTGCAAAGTTTTCACAAAATCGAACGCTCCTTTCTCTTTTTATGAGGTAAAATACTTTCAAAATATAAATTTTGAACTTTTGTTAGGGAGGTGCCCGAAGGAGTGGACCGATTTTGCCCACTCCGAACTTGATCTAAGTTTAACAATAATATTACGATGTAGCAAGTTTGGATCAAATCAAATACTCCCTTCGAGAGTAATCGCGCGAACCAGCCAACCAGACACACGGGCGGACGGACACCCCTAGAACGACTCCAAGTGTCCCGCAACGGATTTGCTCCAAGTACACCTAGGGTCTAAAACCTTTATTTCGATAAGGCACGTTTTGGCCGAATCAAATGGTATATACCGTATGGATGAGGGTAGCCATATGTTGTCATCCCCGGTGCAAACAATTTTTTTCTAGAAACAAAAATTGGTTCCTGAGGTCCTCCGGGACCACTAATTTTTTGTTATACCAAAAATGTGGTCGCTGGGGTCCTAAAAACCTTTTTTTCTACAGAAAAAAATCAATCCTTGGGGACCAATAATTTTTTTTATAGGAAAATGAAAAATTTAGCTACAAAAATCAAAATACCGAGTATTGGGAGGTATCGTTCTATGGAGGCTATACGAAGACGTGAATTTGTATGGGAAATTTTTTGTCAGTGCCCAACGCGCACTCCAAATTCCGAATTTGAAATAATTCTGGTGAAAGAAAAATCGTCAAAGCACCGAATATAGGGAGTTACTTGTTGTATATGAGCTATATGGAAATGTGGACCTGTTTAGGCAATTATCTATCATAGGAGGTAATACCCTTAAAAAACTCCAAATACCAAATTTGAAACACTTCCGGTGAAAAGTGTAACACAAATCATTAAAATTTCGAATATTTGGAGGTACAGTTATATGTGGCCTACTCTAAACCGTGGACCTCTACACCTGCCAGAGTAGGTGGTGCCTATTACATGTTTGAGTTAATTCTGTAAAAAAATGTGGCTAGTATCGTCAAAATACCGAATATTCGGAGACACCGTTATATGAGCTATACGGAAGGTGGACCTGTACGGGAAATTTTCTGTCATAGGAAGCATTGCCATTTGTGAACTCCAAATGCCAAATTTGAAACACATTTTGGTGAAAAGTGTGACACAAATCAAAAGTCAAAATACCTACTGTCTGGAGGTACAGTTATATGGGGTCTATATCAAAACGGGGCCCTATATGTACAGTAGTCTACAATAATTTTTTTCACATACTGCGAACAAGTACTCTCAATTTACAGCAAATTCGGTTTGAAATTGTGACTAAAACAGCAAAAAAAAAATTAACTCTGTCGGTACAGTTAAATGGGGTCTGTATCGAAACGTGGATCTATATAGCCCATTTTGAATACCAAAAAAGCCTTACACACATCTGAATAAAATTTTATCAACCTACTTCATATCATTTAGAAGCTGCAGCGATTTCCACAGACGAAAGGACGGACATCGCTAAATCGACATAGAATTTTATGCTGATCAAGAATATATATACTTTGTGGAGTCTGAAGTAGAATGTATACTTCGGAGTGTTACAAACGGAATGACAAACTTTATGTACCCTCCATACTATGGTAAAGGGTACAAAAATGGTTGACCAGTAAATGTTTTCCAAAGAATTTTTTTTCTTGTGAATTTTTATATCCTCCATCTTGGAAAGGAGGGTATATTAACTTTGTCATTCCGTTTGTATCATCCCTATATATTCGTCGTAGACCCCATAAAGTATATAAATTTATAATCAGCATAAAATTCTAAGTCGATTTAACGATATCCGCCTGTCTGTCCGTCGGTCTGTCTGTCTGAAATCACGATACAGCCAACGTTATTTGACGTAGAGCGTCAAGATTTAGCAGAACGATTTTTTCACGGATTTGTCTGAAAATTGGTATTTGTAGGTCACGATGGGTCCTAGTTGGTGTGGCGAAACATTGTATATATAGGTTCTTGCTTTGGTATAGTCCCCATATAACGGTACCTTCCGATATTCGGTATTTTGATGATTTTTGCCACATTTGTTCACGAATTTGTCTAAAAATTGGTATTTGTTGGTCATAATGGGTTCCAGTCCCGGTGGGGAAACATTGTATTTTGGTATAGCTCCCATATAACGGTACCTCCCGATATTGGATATTTGGATGGTTTTTGTCACTTTTTCCACGGATTTGTCTAAAAATTGGCATTTGTGGGTCCTAATGGATTATAGCTTCGTTGGTGAAGAATTGTATGTGTAGGTCCACGTTTTTGTATAGCCCCATATAGCGGTACCTCCCGATATTCGGTATTTTGATGATTTTTGCCACACTTTTCCCAAGAATATGTCTAAAAATTGGTATTTGTGGGTCAAATGTTTTCATTACCCTAAGGTGGATGGTATTAAAAGTTCGGCCTGGCCGAACTTAATTTTTTTTTACTTCCAATTATTATTTTAACAATTGCTTCCCAGGGTACAATGATTTTTTTTTTTTGATTCCCTGGTATCAATGTTGATATTTGGTGAAGGGTGTAGAATTATAAAAATTATTAACCTTTGGTCATCTGAAAAAAAAAACCTATAATCCATAGCCCTATTATAAACAGAACTAATCCTATTAAGGGCCTTCATCCTCTTAGGAGAAGAAAATATTTAAAATATCTATTTTCTCTCCTATTGCCAAGAGAGTATCAACATTTCCGCAGAGACCCTTAAACACTTTCATACATACTTGTAAAGGCCACATTACGTTCCAAATACAAAATGGCAATATCACTGTGGCCACTCCTCTTCACGTAATTGGGATGTTTGACGGCCTGTAACAAAAACGAATATTTTTAAAATACCAATATTATTATTATTATTACTATTTTTAGAATATTAAACAAATTTGTATATTTATTAAAAGTTATAAAAATATACAGCCAAATTTGCATTCTTTGTTCAAATTTATTTCAATACTTGCCCGCTGAATGTTGATGTCGACGTGTTGAGCTTCAGTATCTGTTGTCAAATCATGTTCTCCCAAACGTACAAATTTCCTGCAAAAATAAATTAAAACTTTTATTCTCTACTCCCCTCCCTTTCCCCTCCCCCCTTTTTCGACCACTCACAATGCATTGTTAATACAATGGGCTGCGGTAATAACGTGACGAGCTGTTACCAAACTTCCACCACATTTAAAGGGCGATGACGACGATGGTTCGTAGCCCAATAAGGCCATCCACGGCCATGCTCCCACTTTGCTCTCCTGGCCACCAACAATTTTTGTTGGTGTTATGGAATTTCGTCCACAACCATCCTCAACTGTGGGCAAACTTCGTGGTATGGCATCACTGTTCGTATCCCTGTTGGATGTGGTTAGAACCCCACTTGGACAGCACACCATTGTATTCTGTCCTCCACATATTTTATTCGAAGCTCGCAGATAATTTGCAAATGCCGGATCTCCATGTTTCAGCTGCAGTTCATCCAACAATGACTTGCAATCCCTTAGTTCCACGCAAGAGCCTTGACGTTGGTCGGGACCACGACAAACGTTAAAACCAGCCCTATCCTCAATTGCTGTGGGTTTTGTGGTGGTCGGAAACTCCAAGGGATTTTTACAACAAATCTAAAAGAGTTAATTTTCAGGTGAAACAAAAAGTTGAAACTATTGCGGTTTTTTCCAATCACCTCGGGATCATTGTCCATGTCGTAGTTATCACAGGCTCTCTTTGATTTCTGAAGCATTCTCTGTGCCATTCTGGGATTCATTTTCTTCATGGTCATTGATAACTCAGGACAGCGGCTCAGAGCAACGCATTCTCCGTCCTCATCGTCAACAGTGGTACAGTATTCGAAGTTATCTTCAGAAAGCAAATTTTTGAAAGAAATTTTTATAAAAATTACTTTTTCTGTAGAAAAATACCACTGTTCAGCATGAACCAATTTTTTCCATTAGGACAAGTTAAAAAGTATCAGTCGGTTTTTTTCCGACAGATGTATACCCTCAGCTTATGCCAGTTTATCTACATATATAAATTGGTCCCAGTGTACCAACGAATTTTTTTTCTAAAGAAAAAAATAACTGGTCCCGAGGTAAAAATGAATTTTTTTCTAAAGAAAAAAAATTGGTCCCGACGTACCAATGAATTTTTTTCTAAAGAAAAAAAATTGGTCCCGAGGCACCAATGAATTTTTTTCTAAAGAAAACCAGTAAAGAAAGTCTTAAAGTCGGGCGGGGCCGACTTTATGATACCCTACACCACTTTGTAATTTAGTAGAGCTCCACCTAACAATTAAAAGTTTTTATGGGAGAATTTAATCATACACGCTATGATTATAATTATAATTTAAAGTTCAAAGGACTAAATATGCCGAAGCATTTGTATCTTTTAAATTCGGAATTGTATTGCCCATTTGGTGCACAATTAATTTAAAATCGGATAAAAATATATATGGGAGCTATATCCAAATCTGAACCGATGTCGATAAAATTTGGCAAAGATATTTCTGAGCTGTATTTGATATATTTCCCTGAATATCGTTGTTACGGAGAGCATATTACTGTTGTGGGTAAGAAATATAACAAATCAGATGAAAAATATATATGGAAGCTATAGCTATATCTGAACCTATTTTCACCAAATTTGACATACTAGCTTCTAGACTCAATTCGGTCGTAAGTACCGAATTCCATCCCATTTGGACAAATATTAGACGTTTGGTGCACAATAAAAGGTAAATCGAACGAAGTTATATATGGGAGCTATATCCAAATCTGAACCGATCTCGATAAAATTTAGCAAATGTATTTCTGAGCTGTATTTGATATATTTCCCCAAATATTGTTGTTGCAGAGTGCATATTACGGCGGTGGTGGACAAAAATAACAAATCGGATGAACAATATATATGGGAGCTATAGCTATATCTGAACCGATTTCGATCAAATTTGGCATACTTATTTTCAGGCCTAATTTGGGTGTATATGCAAAATTCCACACAATTCGGGCTGATATTACACGTTTGGTGCACAATAAAAGGCAAATCGGACGAACATATATATGGGAGCTATATCTAAATTTTGACCGATTATCTCCAATTTCAATAGGGTTCGTCCTTGGGCCAAACAAATGATCTGTGCAAAATTTCATCTGGATCGGGCAATAAATGCGACCTGTACTTTGTTTACAAAAATACATGGACAGACGGACAGACGGACGGACGGACGGACAGACGGACGGACGGACGGACATGCATAAATCGACTCAGAATGTGATTCTATGCAGATCATCAAAAGGAACTATGGGTCTATCTCGTTTCCTTTTGCCTGTTACAAACAAATGCACAAAGACATAATACCCTGACCACCTTGTGGTGTAGGGTATAAAAAATGCACAAAGACATAATACCCTGACCACCTTGTGGTGTAGGGTATAAAAATAGGTCCCGAGGTAAAAATGAATTTTTTTCTAAAGGAAAAAATTGGTCCCGAGCTAACAATGAATTTTTTTCTAACGAAAAAAATTGGTCCCGAGGTACCAATGAATTTTTTTCTAAAGAAAAAAATTGGTCCCGAGGTACCAATGAATTTTTTTCTAAAGAAAAAAATTGGCCCCGGGTTACAAACGAATTTTTTCTAAAGAAAAAAAATGTGGTCCCGAGGTACCAATGAATTTTTTTTTAAAGAAAAAAAAAAAATGTGGTCCTGTTGTAAAAACGATTTTTTTAAAGAAAACAATTGGTTTCGGGGTACCAAGGATAAAAAATTGGTAACGGAGGACCATGTGAGGGATTTAAACACCAAATCGGATGAAACCTATGTATAGGATCTGGACTGATTTTCACCAAATTGCGTGAAAAAAATTCAGATCATTTTGACTGATATTAGCCATCTGATGCACAAGATATATATGGGAGAAAGTGAGAAAGTGATTCTATGAAGATACTCAAAAGTAACCTTGCTTCCATGTTACAAAGAAATGCGCAAAGACATAATACCCTTACCCTTATGTGGTGTAGGTTATAAAAATTGGTCCCTGCGCACCAGTAAATTTGCTTCTAAAGAGAAAAAATTATCTCTGGGGACCAATGATTTTTTTTTTCGAAAGAAAAGAAATTGGTCCCGTGGGACCAACGCGATAAAGAAAAAAATTGATCCAAGGTTTCCAATTAATTTTTCCTAAAGAGAAAAATTGGTCCCTGCTCACCAATAAATTTTTTTCTAAAGATAAAACTTTTATTTTTTTTTTTCAAGAAAAAAAGTTTCCGTGGGGCAAATTAATTTCTTTCTAGAGAAAAAAATTGTTACCGAAGGACCAATGAATTTTTTTCTAACAAAATCTACCTGGGGGCTAATGAATATTTCTCTAAAGAAAAAAATGTTCCTGGAGACCAATGAATATTTTTCTGAAGAAAAAATCGGTCCCGGTTGACGAATGAATTTTTTTCTAAAATCGGCGGAATATATTAAAGAAAAATTAGTCCATAAGAAACTTTTTTAAAAAGATTTAGACCAATAAACTCATCTCTCCTAGTAAATTTTGATTCTTATGTTGTACGACCTTACCTTGCTGAGCCGGCACGGATATAATCACACCCGATATTAGAATAAATACCAAAATTTGTTTCATCACAAAACTCATGGTGTCTGCAAATTCCTTTGTACACTGTTTTATTAGATGTTCTGCACAATTCACTTTCTTAAAAATTATCTACTGCATTCTTTGCAGTATTTTGCCCTTCCTTAAGGTTGCTTATTTTTATCCGTTTCTGAGTTGTGGTTAGGTTAGCGTTTATTTTTGAACTGAGCTGGAATTTATTTTGCGTGGAAGCCTTATCTATAGCAAAGTGTGCAATGCTGTTCCCTCCTAAGGCCACCATTCGGAAACAGGTTGACTTGTCGCTCGCAACGATGGTACTGATAACAGCAGCTGTAGCGGAAGACAAGGAGTTTGGTTGAGCTGCTGGCTGGTTTTTGTTTACGTTCTCTCGTCAGCAAGTACAAGGAACTTCCAAGAACAAAAATTCTGCAGAAATGTTATTTTAGTTCATGGTAGGTATATTTTTACTTGTTCCATTAAAGGTGATTGGTTTAGTGGACTATGGAAAATGGAGGGACAGGAAGCATATTTTTCCATCATAAATGGTAGTTTAGAATATTTATTGTGGTGAGAGGTTCTTAAAAATCAGAGCATAGTATATATGTATCATCAAAAAGTCCTGGAAACGACCTCATACAAGATAATACTACATTCACATATTCATACATTTAAATATTGATATTTTTGGAAAATCCATTCGTTTTGATGTGTCCAAAATAATTTATGCATTGCCCACATTAAACAGAACCAATTCCCGTTCTCAATTCTCAGTAAGAGGAGAGAATTCTCTTTAAAAAAGTAATAACACACACACACCAAGAGTCTGAGAATAAGGGAGACGCGTAGAGAGACTATTTGCTTCATATGCATACACTGAGGGAAAAATCCCGTTGCGAAATCAAGCACGTATGTTGTCATTTTCGCAACGACCCGTTGTTATATTTTTCAACAACGGCTGTTGGTGAATTGTGCACGAACGTGCTCAAATTGACACCGAGACGTGGTCAACTTTCGGTACCAACAACAGCCGTGCTTAATTTGTCCACCGATGTGCTCAAAATGACAACTTTGCGTTTTTAATATTGGTAATTGCAGCCGATTACACACGAGTAAAAAATGACAACGGTGGTGCATGATTCACACACTGTCGTTGTCAATATGACACCGGTCGTGTATGAATTATGCACCACCACCTGCATAATGATGCACCACCGTTGTTACTTTGTACACCGACGTGCATGAATCGTACACGATCGTTGCCATTTTAGCAACTACCGTGTATGAATCATGCACCACCGTTGTCATTTTTTTTACTCGTGTGCAATCGGCTGCATATTTACCATTTTTTCCGTGTTATTGAAAGAGAAAGGACGCATTGTGCAAAAAATTTATTGAAAATGAATAATAATTCGCAAGATCCTCAAAATATCATTGGTGAGTTGTTAGAAATCGATGGCAATATTGTTGTGGTTCGCGATACAAACCATTGCAGCAGTCAAGATGCGGAAAACAATGAGGACGATTATATGTTAAGGGAGTTCTTAAAAGGAATAAATATGGAGTCGCTTTTTGAACAATTAAAAGGTAAGTAAATAAAAATGAATTTTTCAGTTAATCAGTGTAATTAACAAAGAATTTTCTTTTTTGTTCTTTTAGCATCACATGTAACATTTCGCAGTTTGCAGTACTTGAAAAAAGAAGATTTAAAGGAAGCAGTGCCACCATTGGGACTGCGAGTTGAATTCAGAGAAAAGCTCTTTGCTTGGAAAAAACGAAAGGTACGTATTATTTGTTTTACAGTGTTGAACTCAGTATTAATATTGTCATAACAATAGCTCGGGATTGATGACGAAACTATGTCAGTTCCATCTAAAATAGGTGAATGGTGGAAACGCAACGAGACACCTGCAAGTACTCCTGGTACTCCCGACACTACAGGTTCGAACTGCTCAAAAGCCAAAGGAATTTTGTCAGAGGTAAGGTAAGAGTAATATTTGTGTAAGCATAGTTAATGTAGTTTTTTTATTTAATATAGGATCTAACGGAATTGTTAACACATACCTCGAAGGGGAAACTGGCGCTTGAATGTAGTAGCGTTAATAAGAAATTAAGTGACGAGCAAAGAGATGATATGAAGGGTTCACAGCTATACCGAACTAAGTCATAAAAACATAATTCGAAGATATTTAGAGGTAAAGTAAATGCACTGTCATTAATTTCTAGAAGGAATATTTCAGTCTACTAAAAGAAAATGTAAAAGTCTATATTCAAAATTAACTAATGATATAAATTTAAAAACAAAAATATATAAATATATTACTTAAAAAATATTTAAAAACAAAAAAATCTACTTTGGTTCATTATTATTCTGAATAAAATTTGAATGTTTCATAGCTAAAGCGAACCAAGTCAACAAAATATAATAAAGTGTTCGCTATATGACTAAATATAGTTGATGTTCCGCTTGTAATAAGCAACTGATGTCGATAGCTTTGGAAAAGGCAATGCTTTTTTAAGGTCGAAAGTACAGATATAGTGTTCATCAGATGGTACTTCTGTATTCAGTGAGTCTCGAGCTAGCTGTGCTGCTTTTAAATGAAGTTCCTGTTGCCAAATTAAATTTGTAGTTTCTTCTCCATCGAATTTTATTCTTATGTCAAGTCCATCACAAATTCGACAGGTATCCTTATTCGGAGACTTAAAATGTAAATAGAATTTCGTGCTGAATACTTTATAATAAAAATACATTTTATTTTGCATAATCTGCAAGTTTCCAAAATGACTTCTCTGTCAGATTCATTCACCTGGCTGTTACATTTTATTTTGCATCCACAATCATAATTAGGTATAAACGTTTTTGCGGAAATCGTAAGACCCTTCTGATTTGTGTATGCTTTTCCACTGTTGCAGCGAAGCTTACGCACATTGTGCTTCCACTTTGCCGGGATTATTCATCTTTTCAAAACGATTATACTTTTAAAAATTATAAAAATAGCGAATATAGGGAGTTACCGTAATATGGGGTCTATACGAAAACGCACAGGCAAGTTTTGTCATAGTCCATTACAATATTTAAATGGGAAACTGGAAAACATCCGTTAAATAATATCGCAAAAACATCAAATTTCTGAATACGAAAGTCACCAAAATACCGATCATTTTCAATACCAAACGCCCTGTAGACCAAACACACATCTGAGTAAAATTTTATCAACCTACCTCAATTGGCTCGGAAGCTAGAGTGATTTCCACCGATTGATGGACATCGCAAAACCGACATTGAATTTTATGCTGATCAAGAATATATATACTTTGTAGAGTCTAAAATTTATATTTCGTGGTGTTACAAACGGAATGACAAACTCAATATGCCCTCCATACTATACCCTCCACGTACTATGGCTGAGGGTATACATACCTTTTAACTAGTTTTTATACCCTACACCACAAGGGTATTATGTCTTTGTGCATTTGTTTCTAACAGGTAAAAGGAAACGAAATAGACCCATAGTTCCTTTTGATGATCTGCATAGAATCACATTCTGAGTCGATTTATGCATGTGCGTCCGTCCGTCTGTCCATGTATTTTTGTAAACAAAGTACAGTTCGCATTTATTGCCCTATCCAGATGAAATTTTGCACAAATCATTTGTTTGGCCCAAGGACGAACCCTATTGAAATCGGTCAACATTTAGATATTGCTGCCATATATTTCTTCGTCCGATTTGCCTTTTATTGTGCACCAAACGTGTAATATCAGCCCGAATAGTATGGAATTTTGCACGTACGATTAGATTGGACCTGAAAATAAGTATGCCAAATTTGATCGAAATCGGTTCAGATATAGCTATAGCTCCCATATATATTGTTCATCCGATTTGTTATTTTTGTTCTCCGCAGACGTAATATGCACTCTGTAACAACAATGTTTGGGGAAATATATCAAATACAGCTCAGAAATACATTTGCTAAATTTTATCGACATCGGTTCAGATTTGGATATAGGTCCCATATATAACTTCGTCCGATTTATCTTTTATTTTGCACCAAACGTCAAATATTTCTCCAAATTGGATGAAATTTCGCACTTACGACCGAATTAAGTCTAAAAGCTGGTGTGTCAAATTTGGTGAAGATCGGTTAGATATTGCTATAGCTCCCATATATATTTTTAATCCGGTTTGTTATTTTTGTCCTCCGCAGCCGTAATATGCACTCTGTAACAACAATATTTGGGGAAATATATCAAATACAGCTCAGAAATATATTATTATATATGGATATAGCTCCCATATACTTTTATCCGATTTCAAATTAATTGTGCAAATGGGCAATACAAGTCCGAATTTAAAAGATGCAAATGCTTCGGAATATTTAGTCCTTTGAACCTTAAATTTTAATTATAATCATAGCGTGTATGATTGAATTCTCACATCAAAAATTTTAATTGTTATGCGCAGCTCTACTAAATTAGCAAAGTGGTGTAGGGTACTGGTTTTTTTAATATTGCTGAAAAATGAACGGCAATATGCACTTGCTCACTAATAGTACTGATTCAAAGTGAAACACATTGACTTGGTTCATTTTTGCTTTGAATAAAAACGAAAAGGACAGTCGTTGACTTAGGTTTTTTACCGTTATCTTTGGAACGAAGCACTTTTTGACATTGTGCTTTGCAGAGTAAATAGATTTGCCACATGCGGGGACATTGGCACTAGTTTCGGCATTTTTTATTTTTCATGACTTGGTTCGGTATAGCAGTGAGCCCTCCATATAATTAATATAATTATTGAAGATATTTTAACCAACAATGTTACTCTTTACACTCAAGACTATATGCGCATATTGGATGAAATTTGTTCCGTTTTTCCTCTTGAAAACGAAATGAGGGTAAGATTAACAATATAAACAACGTATCTGATTATGTAGTTTCTTAACTTATAATATGTCTTTATTTTTAGGATTATTATTACATTTCAAGAAAAGGAAAGAACAACGCAAGCGGAAAACTTTATGCCAAGTATAGAAACAAGAAGTCCAAAAGAATAAAGCTTTTGATTTCCGAGCCTAGCACAAGCAAAGCAGCAACTCACACATCTCCTAATTTTTGTAACAAAGATGTTCCAGAAATTGATGAATCAGTTGAAAATTCATTGAAAGCTTCCTTACTAAGAGAATGTAATGATTGGGGATCGATCTGCGAAAAATGGAAAAGATCTTTTAACATACGGCAAAGAGATATAAAAAATTTAAGTAGCCATACATTTCTCCTAGAATGGCCGAAGTTGTCCGATGCAAGAGCTTCAGAATTGGTAAGTAGCCATGAGCTATTTATTTGTATATGGATACTAATGTTTCGTTTTAGGTCAACATTGATTTCGATATTATGTATCCACAGAAAGGCAATCTTCTACTTTCTAAATGGGACCAATTTAAGAAAAAAATTTACAATTATTATGGGAAAAATATTCATAACGAACATTGCAAACAACTCTTCGCAAATGTTTTGACGGCAAGCAGCATAGGTAAATTTTAATTCCTGATTTATCATAAACATTAAAAGTAATATTTATTTTATATTTCGGTTGCAGATGCTCAAGATTATATATACGCAATACTGTTGAATTCAGTTTTACCATCACCTGCTAGGTTTAAATGTGGAAACGGTAAATTACGAAAAAAAGTAACAATAGTCGATTCGCAGGAAAGTTTCGTACTGCGACTACCGACAATTAACGATTATAAAAGGCAAATTGATACTGTCACTGAAAAGTATTACAATGCTGGATTAACTATACAGCCATTTATAATTGTGGAGGGTTTGTCCGATTTCAATATAAAAGGTTTTTATGTTTTTTTTAACCACAATTTGTTAAAATTTCAATCGTTCCTCGAATGTTTAGATACATGTTTTAAAATTTTTCATGCACTTTCTTTAAAATATCCAAATGCCTGCCAAATTCCATGGATTTTTATCCAAAAATATTTTTATGAAATTAATACTGTATATGATATAAAATCAGTTAATTTGACTTCACTTATTAATTTCTGCAACAATATTTAAAGTTCGATTCAAAATGTATATTTGCTTTCGTTGCCGTAAGCATTTTGATAAGGCAAATCTTTTAATAGCTCATTTGAAAACAGACCATTTAATGTCAACTAAATTTTTAAAAGTACAATGCGTTCAGGACAACTGTAAGCAAACATTTACAAAATTTACGTCATTCAGAATTCATTTAGAAAAACTTCACAAGAATCACACAAAAGCTCCACCAATGGCTAAAGCCATTAATGTGCCAGTTGAAATGTCATCATCAAATGAAAATGATTACACAAACAGTGAAACTGTTATTAACAACAATACAATAGAAAAGGATTTAGATGTTATGAAAAAGAAAACCTTATATCTGTCTTTACAATTACATGGTCAAAGCTATATGCCTAGAAATCATGTTATAGAAATACAACATTCTGTTTCAATTCTGCTTTCATCCATTTCAAGTACAATTGAAAAATATATAACTGATCATCCAAATTATGAAGACTTAAGGTACTTACTAAACTTTTGTAAAAATCCTTTCGAAGAAACTAGAACGGAATATAGACTTTTAAAAATTTTAAAAGAACTAAACTTTTATGATGATCCAAAGGTTTATGTAATTAGCAATCAAGTCTCGGAAATTGTTATCAGCGGAAATCCCAGTTTAGGTCCAAAGTTATCCAATATTTATATAATGCCACTGAAATTCATGATAAGTGCCCTTTTTAAAATTCCAAATCTCTTAGATTTGACATTAGAAAACTCCAAAAAATTCCTAAATTCACCTGTTTTACAAAATTTTACAAACGGTGAGTTATATAAAACTAAATTATTAAAATATCAGTACAATTTAGTTATTCCCTATGTCCTTTACATGGATGATTTTCAAATTAATAATCCTCTTGGAACCCATACATTTTCCATATGTGGTTGTTATATTAGCTTTCCTTCAATGCCACAGCACTTGTTGTCAAAACTTGATTATATATTAACTGCTGCGTTTATACCATCAAAGGATTTAAAAGAACGTGGAAATGAAGTTTCATTTCACAATCTTGTAGAGGAGTTAAAAATTCTAGAAGAAGGGGTTGAAATTTGTGTTCAACAAAGTGTTCAGAAGGTGCATTTTATTTTAGGTGTAATTATTGGAGATAATTTAGCAGTTAATAGTATTTTAGGCTACGTGCAATCATTTAACTCTAAAAGATTTTGCCGGGTATGTAGAAGAAAAAAGTCCCAAATGCAATCCGACGCAATTCAGCATTTAGATGGTTTAAGAAACCAAGAGAATTACAACTCAGATGTATTGGAAAATAATTTTCAAGAAACAGGTATTAAAAACAAGTGTATCTTCGAATCTTTACCAAATTTTAACGTCACTGAAAATTTTTGTTTTGATATTATGCATGACATTTTCGAGGGCATTTGTGTCTACGATATGTCTAATGTAATTCTCGGGCTGATTCAAGAAAATATTGTTACGTTAGATTGTATTAACAGCAGAAAATCTTTATTCCAATTTGGAGAAATTGAAGTGGGAAATAAATCTGGACCACTAGATTTATGTAGATTGAAAAACTATAACTTAAAAATGACAGCTAGTGAAACTATGTGTTTTACTCATTTTTTACCTTTTATGGTAGGTGATTTAATTCCTTTCTCCAACGATCACTGGAAAGTGTTTATAATATTATTACAAATAATCGATTTACTTTTAAGACCAAGTTATATAGGAGACGATTTAATAAAATTGGAAGAATTAATTAGAGATCACCATTCACTTTATATAACATTATACGGTTCGTTAAAACCGAAACACCACTTTCTTGTCCACTATCCCACTGCTATCCGAAAATGTGGTCCCCTTAAATATCTCTGGAGCATGAGATTCGAAGCTAAACACAAGGAAGCAAAAGCCTATTTAGGAAATACTACATCAAGAGTAAATCCCTGTCGTTCATTATCTATTAAGTCTGGATTGAAATTTTCCAATTTTTTATTAAAACACGAAGATAACTTAGAACCAAATGTTATCATTAATACGCATACCATCGAAGATTTGGCAAAAGAGGAATATTGTTACAAAAAACGTAAGCCAGTTTTAAATTACCAAAATTGCAAAGTGTCTGATGACATTTTTTTTAAGGGAACTAGGTATAAAAAAAACTATTATTTAGCAACAAATAATGCCGCAATTGAACTTTTCAAAATTAAACATTTAATAATTGAAAATGAAAATGTTTACATTTTATGTAACCAAGTAAAAGTTAAAAACTTTGATTATCATTTACAATCGTATGAAGTTGGTTCTCTGAATGAGGATACAATTTTTTTAATACCAATTTTAGATTTTATTACTTACCCATTTCACTTATATCCTATGAATAATGGAAAAGTTTATTTCAGATTTAAGTTAATTTAATTTGTTTCTATACATTGAATATATGTAATTCGAATTGTTTTGTTAAATCAAATATGTATTTATATTGAATTTATGTAATTGGTTTCGTTAAATAAAATACTTTTCAAAAAATTTCGTTTCTTCTACTAAGGGTATAAAATGGAAAAGGAACGGATATCAAAAAATGACCACCATTGATTTCAATCTGACAACGGGCGTTGACAATCCGACAACGGAGCGTTGACAATCTGACAACGAAGCGTTGACGATCTGACAACGAAGCGTTGACAATCTGACAACGGGGCGTGCTCGAAATGACCACGTATGTGCTCATTTCATGCACATCTGTTGTTGAAATCGTTGCCAAAATCTCGGTGTCAAAATGACAACGGCGTGCTCATTTTGACACCAAACGTGGTTGATACACTATCATACACGGATGTGGTCATTTCATACACGGATGTTGTCATTTTTTCTCTGGGTGTACTCATTTGTTATTTTATTTATAACACAAAAATTAATTATGCTGCACATCAGACATTTTGGGTGGACAGGTTGCAAAAATCTTACAGCGTGTGTGCAACTGTCATTCATTGCCAGTTAACATGTTACAACAATTACGAGTAAATATATTGGAAGTGACAAGTTCATTGTATTATAGCAAAGTAAAATTATAGCAACCTGATCTAGATGGAAATGAAATCGAAATGATGTGCAGTTCAAAACGATGACTAAGTGAAAAGGAGAGGGAAACCCCATAATTTTGTAAGTATGTAGGTGTGGGTTTTCTTCAAGAAAATTGCAAATTCTTCTGAAAATTTTTAATAACGCACAGCAAAATAAGTTGGGATTATAGAAATAAAATTTCGTTTTCGCCATGAGGGGTTTTGCCATTTGCCAACGCACGGTGTTACTAAAGCCCTGCAAAAATACTCATTACGAATCGGCTTAC